CAAACTCATGTCAATGAACTGGGAAAAATGGCGGAGACTCTAGCTTTGTTATTTCTGCAAAGGAATCTAGGTTCATAATACAAGACAACTGATTTCACAATTGAATGTTATTTGACGAGTGTAAAAAGTTCGTCGGCAACTGGATTTGTTGTCAGCACTATCATACATTGTTTCTCTTCTGTTAAGGCCTGTTTTTTTGGAATATAAGAACGCCTAACTGCTCAGTTCACCAGCTATTTACGATGACCGATTGCAAATGCCGGCTGAGAGTAACGAAAGATGCAACAAATTTGGATCTGAGGAAGCTGATGCAACATGCTCTTAGTTAGTTTTTAATCCTACAACTCAAGCCTACACATTAAAAAAGAGCGCTGTACAATTACCTTCATTACTTAAAAGAGGCATTAGCATGACATGCCAACACGCATTACTAGCCATTGTTTCATACCATAGTGGTTTGTTAGCAGATCAGAAAGGTGTCCACTTGACAGTGGCAAAAAATTGGTTTAGTCGCCTGAAGCCGAAACAGCTTTATCTGACCGAAATTTTCGTAGCAAGTCAGCTAATATTCGGGTTTTAGTGGTGTGGAGAGAAGCAAGCCAACACAGCAATCGTGAACATGATGCAATCGGCCTACGTGAATGCACTCCATGTAACTGTGTTCGTTTTAGGGATCGGTGTTTAGCAGGGTTATATACAAACTGACTTGTTACCTTCCACGCACTCAAACACACACGCACCACTTCTGCCAGAATAAATTAGTTGAGCTGCGCGCCATCTGCATTCCTTCTCTTTCTGCTGACGGACCTTCTCGACACAGACCGCCGGCCCTGGTGTGGTTCCCGAAACCGCTCTGGGGGCTCAACAGTGGAAAAGGTGGAAGAGGTTTAAGCCCAATCGATGTCACAGTCAACGGGGAAATTGATCGCGCTCTTACTAAGCGTTTATCAGTAGCACTGTATTGTGCTTGATCATTATGCCTGTATCTTCTCACTGATTGGTCAGTTTGAAGTGTTTAAATTTTCAAATGGATCACCAGAACGGTTTCAGCTAGGTTACTAATTATCGATCCTTTTGTTGAGTGTCTTTTCTGACAAGAGGATCGATAACTACTGAAATGAGTAAAGTTTACGTGTGTTCAAAATCCGAAATTATTTTAATTTTTTATTGAGGCGCAGCGGGGGTCTTTGTTTATGATACAAATAGATGTCATGTTTTAATTCAGGCATCGTCTGACCCACCAAAAGACTTTGAGGGGGCATAGTTAAAGAATTTGGAGCGATTTCGGGAGTCTGTTTTGTGTAAGAAGGCTCGACTAATTTATCTTAAAACTGCGGATTAAAACAACTTAGATGCTAGTTGGCACTTTTTATTGAACACATTCATGCTTCAACCAATTTGGAAGAATCGCTGCGTAAGTCTCCACCCCCATCTACAGGGTCCTTTGACTACTGAAGTATCCAATCAGCAGTGCAGACCAGGAAAGATGGCAACAATCAAGAACTCGCCTTTTCTGCTCACAGGAGACCTTACAATAAATGTATTTAAAAGTAGAAAATGGTGAATAAGCATTAAAAAAAATATGCGCGCATTAATCGTCTTTAGTGAAAGTCCAAACCCCCACCCGATGACAATGCGCTCTGTCCTAACCTGCAGCTTCTTCCCTGCAGACACTTTTTAAAGATACCCCGATACCGCCTGCTCTGGAAGATGTAGACGAAGAAGTTGGAACTGGAGCTGACGACCGAGGCCAGATTTGCCACGCTGTTGAGTGCAGCCGAGGCGACGTTCAGTCTGGTCCCGTTAATGTCCTTAAAAACGAGGTACACATTCAGAAAGGTGGCCGGAATGGCCGGGGCTGAGGTGATGATGAAGACGGACAGCGTAGTCCTCAAAATCTTGAGGATTCGTGCCGACGTCCTCGCGTTCACAATGGCAATTTCCTTCTCCAAGTCACTGAAATCGCTGTGCATCACCTGCATGACAGTTTTGGTAGTCAGGAAGGAGAAAAAAAGCATTAAAATTAGGGGGAGGGAGGTGAGAGCCAGCATGTCAGTGAGTATGTGGGTCATTTTGGCGATTTTTGCAACCTCACAGTCTTCGGGCTCATTTTTCGACGCCACCACGTAGATAATGACGGGAATGCGAAGAAACATTGAGGCCAGCCCGACACAAATAACGATGATGCGGACTCGTGTCAGGTTCCAAATTATCTTGAACTTGACTGGTTTGTAAAAAAACACGAATCGTTCGATAGTCATTACCAAGAGAAGCCAATTCCGGTAGAGCTCGAATACATTGGCTCCGTAGAAAAGAATGGCGTAGGTGGTGGGATGGGTCAGGGCAATGGTTGTGGGGTGATCGCTTGGAAAGGCCCTTCTGACTGTCCAAAAGGCGAACATGAAAGCAAGGTAGCCGACGTCGACTATGGCGATTGCCGAAAGGGTGAAACGCGTGCTGATGAATGTGTGCGAGTCGTACCAGAAGAGGAAGAGTGTCAGCAAACTCAATACGACTCCCACAACCATGACCGGTCCCCCAATGTACACCAGAGTGATGAGATGGATGAATTGAGCAGTGCTGGATTCAGATTGAGGGATACTGATTATAACCGGCATGACTTTAGTACAGTGACACGCTCTCCGCGTGATGCCTTTGAATGACCTTACTTACGGGCATAGCCCATTGGCTACATGGCTGGCCAGTCACCAATCGCTAATGCTTAATGGGAAAAATAAAGATAGCTGGTAAAACAGACGAGGTATGGGTGCATGCTATGGGAATATTTCATTCGCCTGTGGCCTGTTATTTGGCATTCTAAGTGTTGCAGGGACTTCCGGAGAAAACAAACGTTGCAGGCAGTTTTCCGACGTTCAAATTTCACGGTGGTACTAACTAGTTCGTTAATTGCATCCAAAAGCGTAAAAAGGAGCGATTTCAAAGGGTTCTTGGAAACGCTGAAACGAACCAACAATTTTATTAGTCAGTGAGGAACTCCGATCAACGGTCCATCTGAGTCAGCCGGAAATATGGCTAACCAATTTTTTTTGGTTAAAATTAGGCCCATGTAACCAGAAGGGAATCACAATGTATGGTAGAGGGCACAAATTTAAATTGCCTCCAAGTCCAGTACGAAGTCTTATTCAGGAGTTGGGTTCTCAGAACACACTTTTCTCTCTAATTATGATCGAAACATTGGTGCAAATAATGTCCAAATCAACTGGCACCATCAAAAATCGATTATTGAAGACATAAATCAGAGCACCCAATTTGGTAATCGGTGAAAACTATGATAAGTTATTTAATTAAGAAAACTCACAATGAGAGATATTACACACTTTCCAGATCACATTGTTACACATATTTTTGACATTAGGCATTCATGAGGTACTGTACTGGAAACTAATACTACTTAACATCGTTGACCATTCAATGCTGCCTCCTTTCACACTCATCCTTTATGCACTTTGTGTCAGGGGCAGCTATCCTCGCTTAAATTTATAGGCTTTGTAACACGTCAATGTGTGTGACCCGTCAAAAAAATGTTACATGGGAAAAACGCTTTTCAGGAGTTTTACTAGGCAGAAATATACTTTCAGGGGAATAAATTATTTACCCTCACCATGACAAGAAGTCATTGAAAACACCATAACCGATGGTGATGTGCAACTGAGTCCTTAAGTACTGTTGGAAATAAAGTGAACTTTAAATTTCGCCTGAGTCGGTTTGCCTTGTGTCCTTTGATGACCTTGAAAATCCTCTTCATGATTCTCCACCTCAGGCTATGTAGAGCATCGCATTAGGCCGTTTCCAGGATTAGGACAGAGGATGTAACAATTTGACTAGTGCAGTCAATTTGAAAGTAAAATTTTTCCCTCCAGGGCTCACAAACAACCTCTAAAATTGTGCTGAAAAAAAAATCTAGCTGCTTCTTAGCTTTATATCCACGAAAATGAGCTCTAGATTGTGCGGGATAATGTAGAAAGGAAGCCAGGTGAATGGGATAACCTCAGCTGAGAAGCACAGCCGGCAACCTTATGTGTCAACATTGTCGATGCTGCGCGTTCGTGGTCCACCTCAAGTATCGACATTCAGAAAAAAAATGTCCTAGTCGGGATCAAGAATTACCTTCTAATGCGCGTATCCACAACTGCTTTCTGCCCGAGATCTGTCCCGGAACTAGAACAACACACTACTATACTCCCACGGACCTGGCTTCCTTCATTGTGGTTACAACAAAACATGCCATTGTTCCAAATTTACGCAGAAAATCTAAAAAACGTTGCCCTTAGGCCTCTCCGTAGCACAACAGGTAACACGACTGTGGGGCATTAGGTACTAGAGTTATTTTGGTAATGAAAGAAATAACGCTAACATTGTTACTTGGATACTCCAGTCACAGTTAAAATTTGTTTTGCCCTAGACGTTGCTTAGCTCACACGTGACTGCCAATTGTTTAATTTGTTCATTGTCAAAATATTTATGATGTGGGAAGGGGCCTTTATTCATCCCCCGACAAAATTAGTGTTACATATATTTCAGGATTCATTAACCTCAAATCAGCCGCGAAAATAACAGCCAATAGCTGACTTGGTTTTTCTGCCAATCAAAATGCACGACAGCTCTGGTATTACAGAGACACCCGATGAAGACAAGGAATGTGGCATTAAGGGGAAATCTTGCTGCTGATGCGTCCAAAATCGTGTTTACTTTGGCAACACAAGCACCCTGTTGTGACCAGTAAGAATCCCGTGTGCTACAGTTGACAACGAGATGACAATCGCTATTCCATATTTTAGCCGCTGTTGCGTGCCGCGAAATCTGTAACTGTGATAAAGTGTTACATGCATAGAGAAAGAAGAACGAAAGAAAAGCCGGGTCGCTTCAGAAAAAGGCATGTTTGTGAAATATTTTTTTATTGCAGTTCTACTGTCTAATTATTCCAGTCTGCAGCAAAGTGGTTGACGTATTTTAAGACACTTAGATAATGCTTGATGAAACTAAATCAAATGCAACCTATTTTTAACAGGTACCCCTAAAAATTTTTACACTCAAGTAGGAAGAAATTTACTGATATATTGGTTTTGGCAAGGCAGATGTAGTAGAAAGTGCTCAACTAAAATCTTGGAAATTCAGTTATTAGCTTGTATGGTAAGTGAGCCTAACAGTATGCTAGTCATTTGTTCAACAAATCAAAACATTTCGCTTATTTTAACAGCAAGAACGTCCGGATTTCAACTGAAGGACAAGAAAACAGGACTTACAAATCTCCCCTGACCAGAAGTATATAACTTTTGAGTAGATAGGACACCGCTGACGTGAGCAATGCGTGTGTTTTCTGTTAGACATTGGACTCATAGACGGCCGGGATGTGGGTGCAAAGTACGTCTAGATTCGTGTTCCATGTCACAGCGTCACATCTGATTGAGCCGACACCCTACTTTATTTCCAACAGTAGTAGTTTGTGAGAAAAGCACTTTTAATAATCATCACTTGGAACTAGTTGACAGGTCTCCTTCCAAACTCCTCCGGCATATGCGCCCCTGTTAGGGAATAGAGAGGTTAAGGAATCTGTTCTACGCCAAATATGGACTAAATCTCGCCTGGCACGCATGAACAAAATCCCCTCATTCCAAAGCTCTAACGCTCACTTGGAAAAGCTTACAGAAATGGCGAAAAATATTAATGTATTTCTTTGCCAAGGAGTGGGAAGTCGAACCATCTCCTCTGATGCAGAAGCTGACAGGAAGCCAACCACTCACCGAGATTGAATGAATTACCATCTAGACAGCCTCAACGATGACAGCCCACCACTTCCCGTTTTCGCCAGCCAAGTCAAGCCAAGAAGCGATCCCACCAACTCCTGAGACCCATTGTCCGCTTTGCTGATTCAATTCAATAATTGTCGAGCGTTCACAGTGTCTCACAGCCAACACCCTCGGGAAGGAGGGAGGGAGAATATTTGTAGTGAACTTTCATCAAACGAGTGCGAGTGGGGCTCATTCACGAGTCACAGTCGACGTTCGATATTCACTTAAATCGTAACCGTTTAGCATCACTTAAAGTGTCCTTGCGTAATTTGAAACCACGTTATTAAATCGTACATTGATTGAAGGACATTCAGCAAATTAATCATGTTTGTGAAATGCATCCCAGACCCATTACGAGGATTGTCTTTCACGGTTATCCCCTTTTTAACCTGTGAATTTCTGACCAAAATGTTGACTGCCTTAACCTCTCTTGTTTGGTTAATAACGGCCACGTGCCATTGTCTTCCACGAGAATGGATTGTAGGCCACGTTATTATTGGCTGCTTCGCATGTTTGAGGTCAAAAAAGTCGTTATGATCGATGACGAATTAAAACGAAAATCCACTAAGCTGAAATTACCCAGTGACCCCCCCCCCATTACTTTTAACTACCGCGCAATCATTTACTGATTTGCGCATTTTCAGTGCCACTAAGCTATCGTGATAATCCAATCTAGAGGTATTAGTGCTCACTAGATTGCCCAAGCTGCTATAAGTGTGTTGACTAATGATTGGCCGATGTTTCAAGCGCGTAGGAGGTCGAATTTAAAACAAACCGTAACAAAATCACACCAACCTGGAAAAGGCAAGGTTTAATTAACTTTGTGGAATGTCAATTCGTTACTGTAAACTAGCAATTCGAATCAATGAAAATTAGGCGTTATTTTTATCACCAACTCCCTGGCACTTCAGTTTTTGTTCCCTAAAAAGGATAACTTTCAAATGCCAGGTTTAACCAATGCTGTAGTTCCGAGGTAGCTAAATAATTAAAAAGGACTTCTGCCCACGTTTTCTGCATTATTTATCAATTGCTTGGAGCAGTTTACTGATTGAGAAGCAATGCACAAGAAAGAGATGACACTAACAGGATTATAATAAATGTAGCCCTGATTTACGGGCAAATTGATCTAGGTTGATACAAAAATGGCTTCTTGGCTGCTACTTACCGACTTTTCTAGCTATCAACACGTAATTTATCGAAACATGTTTTTAACGAACGAAATTTTAAGAAACTAGTACACGAAAAATGTAGTAGGACTTACAAATTGAGAGTTTGCACAGCAGCCTTCGGCCCATTGTCACTCGGATGAGAAATCGGCCCCTATAACTAACTTCTCAAGGCAATAATTATGCGGTTCTCTGAGTAGCAATTTGATTAGGATCGTGAATCGATTTCACCGTTCTCAGGGTTAACCTTTAAATGTAGAGCAGGGTTAGCAATGCAAGTGGATCTCATTGCTCCAGCAAATTTATCCTAGCAAATCTCTTGAGTTTGAGAACTGTGAGAGAACACTGGGGTCAAACAATCCCATCGTGGTTTATTTCTTTCGCTCCAAGACATTTAAACAGGACGCGATAACCCTGTCAAGCAGACGGAGATGAGGAATAATGTGTGGCACGCACAACAGAGAGAGCTTAACTGCAGGGCTGTGTGCTGATTGGCGAAACGATGACTTGGTGTTTGGGGGCAATAGAGTCACAGCCCCTACACGGCGCACCTGTCAGACGCGGTGTTTAATCGCGACCGACCGGACATCGACGGGAGTCAGATGGACCGCAGCAGTAGGCAAGCGAAAGGCAACGGTTGTT